ACTTATATGGTTCAAACAAATGTCCTCGCATTTTAGAAAGGCAAAACACGTAAATTAAGGCAAAACACGATTGCATTAGTTGAAAAATTATAATCTGTCAAATTGAATTATATAGGGTATGTTTGATGCGCAATTACTGAATGTCCACAACCGTCAGACGTATGCGCAGACTGTTCATCTAAACAAATAGCCATACATATATACTGTATCTTATATTATTTTAATTTTTGGTATATCTCAGCTGCTTTTAGGTAATAATAATGTAGATACTACATTTTTGTTATTAATAATCATAATTATATTATTTTATAATAGTGTCTTAGCTCATGAGTGAATTGAAATTTTTGGCAGATGACAGTTTTAATTTGTTTTAATGCCAAACAATGCATAAAATATTTTCAATGTCAAACAATCATAAGCGGTTTCTACAATGTAACTATATTTCTATAATCACAACATCCTAAAAAATTCTCTTAACAAACTTCAGATAAATTTATCAAAATCCGAATAATCGCTTACGAGTAGAGCTTACAATACGGTGATTCCGTGATCCTGAATACCGGGGCCCCGGGAAATTCAATACCGGAATTGATACAATAATACGGGTATTTTGGGATTACCAAAATTTTGTTAAAAATTTAACTTACGCAATATATATAAACAGTTCCCAAACTGTGTGTGAGTATTTCCGACTCGACTCAGCCCAGTATGACATATCTTGTCAATATCGGCAAGATAAAGCGATTATTTGTATATTATATACAACCTAATGAATGAAACCAATTTATTAAAATTATTAGTCGTCCACGTGCATTGTCCTCATATCTAATTTTCAATAATTTTTAAATAAAACATACAATCAACACGTTATAATTCTCTATATTTTATATTTTCCTATCAATCATTCGGATTTATTTATTATTTCATTATAACGAAAATTTACAAGTCAAATCATCAAGTGATAAATAATATTCTATTTTTATTCATAGTTTATTAAGCAATCAGAAATATACAACATTACTATAAGCTAAACTTAAAGTCTTATATTGTAATAAAAATAATATCCAATGAAATTATCTTTTTATGTGGTTATGCATTGTCCAGTGGCCAGGTTCTCTACAGCCTCCTTCTCTGTCCAGTTTCTAATAATTTGTGCACCAATAGGTTAGGATTATTTTCTAGTTCCTTTTTGTGTTTTCATGCCAGAAGTCTTATTGTTTCTTGAGAAATAGGTGTACAGCTATATCATTGTAAAAATAAACGTCAAATATGTAAATCAATTTAATCTAAAAAAATTTACAAGAGAATATAAATCATTTTAAATAAAAAATTACATGATTTAATTTTTAAAATATCAAACATAAAACCCAAAATTTCAATTTATTCTTTTTAAATAATTTACTTTGTATTGTACGTTTTCTTGAAAAAATACCAAAATAAAGTCATCACAGCAAAGAAACTTCTTCAAAAATATTTTTTTGTACTGAGCAGGATTCAATATATAACAAAACATAATTTTTCTAACAAAGTTAGAAAAGAACAATTATGAAATTTTAATTCTTGAATTAAGTTTTTTCTTTCCTTTCTCTTTCGTATTTTATCTAGTTAAGTTAGATCTTCTGACTTTTCAGAAGCAATTCGGTCTATAGATCGTGTTAATGTGAGGCGCTGATTCAATGCAATAATGGAAACTTTTTCGAACAAACATACTTCATCTCCCTTTGGATCCTACCTCAAAAACCAGTATAGTTTTGCTGTTATAATGACTGTCACTACCGTACTCTGGCACAACCGTACACTGTTTCCCCAATAGATTCATGGAAACTAATAATTTCAATTAGTGCAAAGGTGTGTGTAATTCAAACATTAGAAACCTTAGAAATTCTAAGGACAGGCGGCGAGAATGTATATTCTATAAGAGAATATTTCTACAAGCTAAACTGAAAGCTTACAACATAAATCAGAAAACCATATTTCATTCGCTTATTTTTTCTACTAACTTTATTATCACCATCACTTATTGTCTTTATACACTTATTTAATTTTAATTCTAGCTTATTTCTTCGAATCACCTCTAACACCCTACGCAACACTTCAATACTCTCCTCAATTATTTCTGTGGCGATTAATAAATCGCCCATGTATACTATAACCTCATAGTTCACTATAAAACGACAAAAAATGTCACTCACATATCTTAATTTACCGTCTTCTTTTAACTATATGCACTATCACTATCTGACCTCGTTCATAGGAGGATCCTAGGGACTACATAAAATGGTGAGACATTCGGCTTCAGCACAATTGACATTTCGAATGCAGTCTCTGGTTCTTCCGGTTTTTGACTATCCAAATATTTCTTCCTTACCAGGGTTCCTACTATCGCTACCACTCCATAGCCATGCATTTCGAATGCAGTCTCTCGTTCTTCCGGTTTTTCACTCTCTAAATATTCCTTTCTTACCAGGTCTACCGTCGCTACCACTCCATAGCCATTTTCACTCCATCTGTAATAATATCGTCAGTCGACAATATTTCGTTAACCCTTGCATTTTTGTTAACTATATGCACTCCCCTTCCAATGGTCACCCCAAAATCATCGTGTTGAATCATATCTCGCTCCAATAGACATGATGCATTCATGGTATTTTCTGGGACTACATACAAAGTTAGTGGCACTTCTGCCCCATGCTCCGGAAACGTCAACCGTAGTTTCGCAATACCTTCAACATCTAACCTCGCATGGTTAATGCCCTCGAACCCGGCTCTTGTGCTCCATACCTCCACTGGTGTTCCATTAGCCACACAAGATCGCTTGATAATCGATATTGCTGAACCCGAGGCTACCATACTCTCAAACCCAAGTCAAAAACCTTAGTTTTTACTTTGTAGGCCGTTATGGGGTTTAATAATAGTGCAGTGCTATTAGGCACCACCTGCGCCGTACTGCGGACATTTTTGCAAAACCTCTGTTGATGCTCCATTGAGCCAAAATTGTAGCAAGCCACTTTATCATTTTTTGGTTTCATACACCCGGATACCATGTCTTACTCCACCACAATTAAATTGCCCCACCGGGGAATATGCGCCTTATGGTTCCACTCTAGGAAACCCTGTTGAGTGTACCCTCTTAGGCGGCATCATATTGAATCCGCGTTCCTCTGCTGTCAGCTTGTTTATCACACTTAGCAGGGTCGCTAAATCTTTGAATTGGTTCATTTTGGCTTGGGCCTGAAGTGGCGGGTTGTCGAAGCCGTCTATCATATAGGCTAGCAGGTCAGACTCCATAAAACCCAACCTATTCCCTAGCGCCATCTTCTCCTAGAAGTATGCTGTTATCGCCCTCTTAAGCTCATCGTATAAATAGATTGCATACTCTGCTTTGCTGTCATATAATTGTCTCGCCTGCCCCGAAAGCTTCAATATCATCAGCACCACCATCTTTTTCTTAGCCACCTCGTATGCGTCACGCACCGCCTCAACGCGTTCAAACCATGCCTCGAGCATTGCTCAGACGATCCGCCGAAAACCGGTATCGTCGCTAACAATTCTCTGCTCAAGATGCTCTCGTTTTTATAACCGGTTGTCGCCCTAATAAGATTAATCAAATCTGTTAACGATAGCACTCTTAAGGGCACCAAGCTCTCAGCATCACCTTCGGTAGCCATCTCACCAAATCTTAATTTATTTTCGCAATCTCAAGTGTTTAGATACAAATATAACAGCTCCGCAACTCGCCAACGTCAATATCACGCCTTGCTTTTGATATTTTCTTCCACTTTGTTCTTATTTTAGTTAACCACGTGTTAACCTCACTTCGACACAACAACACCAAACACACAAAACTTACAAAATAATACCTGCACCTGTACGATAGCGAAGCACACCTTGCTTTATAATGCACCCCGTCATTATAATCCGCCTGATTTATAACACTGGCATTCAAAAAGATTATTGAAATCGCCTATCTCAATAATACACACCAAAAATTTTCTCCAATAAAATCCTCAACGTTCCGATCCAATCCCACTTCTGAGCTTTAATCTAGATTTACTCTAGTATTATTTAATTAATAAAACGCCTTATTACTTCTTCACAAATATATTTAATAATCAATCACCAAGTTAACACCACGCCGAATTGTACAACACTTAACAAGTTACCGCCAGGCACACCGATTCACATAGAAACACACTTCTGTTCCGTAAGGATCAGACACCATGCATATGACACACCATAGAGCACACACACATCGGGATAGACACTCTTGACTGTTATATTCAAATGACAGACATACAATATTATAATATATATATATATATATATATATATATATATATATATATATGATAAAAATTGTTTCTTGGGCATCCATCCAATAATTAAAAACGTATGTTCTCTTAATTAAAACATTTTGCATTAAAACTGTTTTTTTAATTATTGGATGGATGCCCAAGAAACAATTTTTATCATATTATTTCACCATCTGAAGAAAAACCTCTCGCTTTATATATATATATATATATATATATATATATATATATATATATATATATACTAGCTGACCCGACAGACGTTGTCCTGTACACATATGTCTATATTAAAAAAGTATTCAATATCATTCAACTTTTTTTTATAATTATTCATAAATAAATTTAATTAATACAATAGTTATATTTATTTTCAAATGAACAATTTAACAATATTATATTCAGGAATGCAATTCCAATAATTAATGTTATTATAATTAATATTAATTGTATAATTAATCTTAATTAATATTGTATATCATTCTTTTTTTATTTTAAACTTTTAATGTAGTAGAATTTATTGTAATGCCAAAGGATATACAATATTCTTGATGAGATTATTAGGTGTATAAATATATAAATTATTTGGGTTTCTGACTCTTGAGCAAGCAACATATAGCTGTCCGTGATTAAAGCACGGATTTTCTAAATTTATACCGCAAAAGTTCATTGTCTGCCCTTGTGACTTGTTTATGGCTGCAGTCTTTTAAAAGTTATTACTGATTCCGAAGGAATTAGTGGTATTCTAGGCAAAAAAACAGCATCATCTTTGAATTTTACGCCCAGAATAATTGCCTCTATAATGTTTCCCATAATTTTTGTTATTGCTAATCTTGTGCCATTGCATAATTTTGGGGCATTTAAATCTCTTAGTAATATAATTGGAGAACCAACTTTCAATAGTAATTTGTGCGGCGGCATTCCTGGTAAATCAAGAGAATTTAAAAATTCGACTGGATAATTGACGATTTCATCAGGATCAATAACAGTATCAACTAATTTAAATGTGAATTCATATCCTGGCAGTATCTGTTGTATTTTTAAATTCATTTCGTCTACATCCAAATTCGTTGCTGCTAAAATTGCTCGTTTTTGTAGCCACTCATAATCTTTATGATTATGCTTTAAATTTGGAAAAATATTTTCTATTAGTTTGGCTTTGCTATCAACCATATTACAAAAATTATCAGAAAATTGAATGTACTCTGTATTTTCATAAAAATTAATTCTGCCATTACCAATATCCAATAATTGTTGTAAAAATTTCGACCCCAGTGCATCATTTAGACATTGAACACGAATGTTAATACTAAGATATCATTTCTTTACGTGGCGCCAAAGATAAGACTTTTTTAAGCAGGCATTTATTCCATCAGCGCGCGTCGCTCGTGGAATAATGGGCAATGTCTGTCTGAAATCGCCAGACAGTAGCAATAGGCAGCCACCAAAAAGACAATTATTATTTTTGATATCTTTCAGCGACCTATCAAGAGCTTCAAGCAAATGCTTGTGCGCCATAGTACATTCATCCCAGATGATTATTTTACATTCTCGCAAAACTTTCGCCAATACCGATTTCTTCTTTATGTTGTACATTGCTTCTGGGTTAACATGAACATTTAAAGTTAACTTAAATGCCGAATGCGCAGTTCGTCCTCCTTCAAGTAATGTCGCTGCAATTCCTGATGAAGCTATTGCCAACGCAATATTATTTTGCAACCGCACACGCGCAAGAATCAGTGAAATAATTAATGTTTTGCCAGTGCCTCCGGGTGCGTCCAAAAAAAAGAATCCGCCCTGTTGTGCCTCAATTGACGTATTGATTTGATCATATACACTTTGTTGCTCGGCAGTAAGCAATATTTCATTATTAGCAACAAAAGTAGCTGAAGCAGTTTTATCAAACTGGTGTTCACGTTGAACATCGCTGTTCATGATATCTACTGCTGCTCGGCTCGGTGCTGACATGCTAAATTGAATTAGCAAAATTTGGATACAAATATCTTCAATCATTATTAAGGCTTCGTTATATATTTGTTATGAAAATTCATGATTATTATCTTGATTATTAATTTTATACCGATGCAAATTATCCTCACTCATTGAGTCTTTTTGTGTATTCCACAGTGCAGATGCATCTGATGGAAAACATGTTGTTAATATTATTGCAAATAATTGTCGAATTTGATGTGCAGATGAAATCAGTGCTGCATCTGCAAGAGTCATGTCCCATTGATTATCATTCTTCAATAAGTGCAACTCACGGCACGCATCATAAAAAGTTTCATATAAAATTCCATTGACTGTCCTCAAATTTTGGAATGATCTTGGTCCTATAACATTAATCAACAACAAACGTAAATAAAAGCATTCTCGTTGCTTAGGATGAACAGTATACAATCTACCCAAATTGTTTGTCACATATATGCCTTTAAATCCTGAAACAAGAATACCTCGTTTTCTAGGTACCCAATCTTTTAATTTTTTATCCCATATAAAATATTTAGATGTATCTGTGTATAATAATGTTCTAGCAAATCTTCGAGCAATATCTGATCTATTACAAAGTTTAAAAAATGCATTTAGAGTAGTCTTCGGAGCAGTCAAAACTTGTTGTAATATATTGTTTTCTGTAAAGTACACCCGCGACCGTTCTCCAAATGCACAGCCAAATGTACCACAGATGGATTCTTTTCATGTATGGGAAAACCAAAAATACGCAAGATAGCTTCATTGCTATCTATATATTTCATCATTCTCATTAATACTTTTAAATGCAAATATCGCTTTGTCGCTCCCTTTATGATCATATTTGCATATGTATTTTATCGACTTCACCGAGCTGCACAGTTTGACATTTATATGTGCTTCATAGGTTTTGCATAGCAAAGGCGAATAAGGAACTACCCATCGATTATCAACATCTATTACCCCGCCATTCGACAGTCGCAATTCAAAACATTGTCCACCATTGTCAACGTCACGTCGCCGATAAGCGGGGTAACCATTAATGTCGGTGATAGTATCGTTTTGAAATGATTTTGGAAAATGTTTTGTACATTTTCCATTCACCATGCATGGTTACATAATGGTGTGAGTACCGCATGGACCATGTATCATGTTAGTAGTTATAATATCGAACAATTCCTCATCAACATTTTTATCAGTAAGATCTACTGGGATAATATTATCAATCTCTACAGAATGTATCTTATCAATTAACCACAACAAAATATGTGCATGGGGTAAACCTCTTTTCTGCCATTCTACTGAGTATAACCAACAGCGTGTTTCACCAAAAACAGAATGATGCGTTATCAAATTCATCAATGATTTCAACTTCTGTTTAAAAACTCGTGCAGTTATATCATGCCTATCCATCGTTGTTTGTCCCGGCATCAGCAATTTTTTTATTTCATCCCATTTGGGATTGCACGTAAAGGTAATGAACAGATCAGGTCTGCCATATGCGCAAACATAAGCCATAGCATCTTGAATGTACTCCTGCATATGTCGCGGACTTCCAATATAAGAAGATGGAAGAATATATGCCTAATATCATTCATTGCATCTACATTACCAAGTACTGCATCACGCAAATGTATATATTTCTCAGCGCGGAGTTTGGCTTGATTAAACTTTATGAATCTCAATATCTCACTGTCAATTTTCACATACATGTCGACCACAAACTGATGGAATAGCTGTCTGCATTTAAGAATATTATTTTCTTTATTAGCTCGAATCATTAATCGGTAGCAATAAAAGTCCATGGCCCTTACTTTTTTGGCAAGTTCTGCATCTGGAATAAAATATATTAAAATTATTTTAATTATTATTATTTGAAATTTTTCTATAAAAATGAAATTTTTACCTGTATTTGGATCCCTTTGTTTAATATTTAAATGGTACCCATCTTTACCTTTCCAAAATATCAATAGATACTGCAAAGCATCATAAGAACGATGACTGTCCTGTATTATCTGCATGGTATTATCTCTCCGTTGTATACGTATATCACGCCCCTCACATAGATCACCAGCTATTACGATCGCGACTTTATTGACTGTTGGAGCATTATATGCGCCAACATGTTCTCCAACCGGCACTTTGTCTGCTCTAATAATAATAGCGTAATCATCGTTTTGTAGTCTACTTGAAAGAGTCTTAAACAAATGCAACGACTGGTTATGGTTTTTAAAAAATATTTCCAAAGAGTTCACAATAACTCTTTCCTTCATAAGCTGTATGTGATTAAATTCGCATCGCATGTTTGTTTGTCGTTCATCATCGCCCATAAAATAAATCTGTAAGAATTTCGGATTCACATCAGGCATGGGAAACAATGAACCGATTTGATGGTAAACTTGACCTTGTATCTTAAATGTTGATTCGAAATTTCGACCATCTTCATTTTCAAATACTTTCGTAGCACCAAATGACGTCATCTGAAAACATAAATTAAATTTGCAAATTTTTTTCAGTAATATTTTTGATTGAGACGTTGTTCCATCTAATAGAGTTTTTAAAGGTTCCGGTGGTGTTGTTATGTTGATACGCAACATAAACCTGCTGATTCTCCTTTGAATTTTAGAGCATGGCAATGTTTACATACTTTGTCCATATTACCTATGGTAATTAAAGAGTGTGATGAATAATCAAATTTAGAATCATAATTAAACGCCAGGCGCAAAAGTGATGAACGTACCAATGCTCTGTGATTATTAACTCGTCGTTGATTATTTTTTCTAATGGCGGCGGTCGCACCTCGTTGCACCTCTCGATTTCCTAATGCCATATCTGTCAGTCGTTGAGTACGTCTCTCTAAACTTTCATTAGCACGTGTATTTGCTACTTGCTCTTTCAAATTCATATTTTCCATCATATGTTGTTCATGGGTCCTATTTAATCTTCGTTCATAGAGTGCTCGAGCTTGCCGAGTACGTCTTCCAAAATTACTTGCCCCTCTGCAAATTCGTGGCATCGTGGCACGATAAAAGAAAATCCTAAATATTATAACCCGCTGGATAATGTGAATCAATTAATCTCACTCTCAAATTGTAATAAAACTATAACTGAAGAATACCAGTATCTTCCACTAATACTGTATTATAACTGATTCTTATTAAGCCGCTTTTTTAAACTATTATTCTCACATTACACATCAAAAATAAATTATATTTATCGCCAATTAATCAAGATAACATAGACTCTTCTGGACTCTACTTTCCCGTACATAGCCACATCCTATCAAGTTAACAGGGTTAAGACACTCTTAGCGGGCGCAGGGACATCTATCGAACTAACTCGCTTTGATAATTTTATTTATATATATATATATATATATATATATATATATACATATATATATTATTTTAATAATTTTTACAACTGTCCTGAAACGGACAACAAGTAAAATATTTGACATGAAACTAAAGGCGTTGGCAAAATACAAATCATCTGACCATTGCCAGTGATTTGTCGAAGGTCTTATCTATTGTTGATTAATGCAGAATAAATTTTCTTTTTAATCGGGCCCTGGTAGAGTTGTTCTGAAGTTTTCTCGCGAGCAAGTTCGGGTGATCAGCTAGGCGATTTCTATATTTGTGTGAGTAAGCGATTATTTCATCCTTAACTGTGCTAGTGCCTGTATCTTTGTGTATTAACCAATTTGGAACATACTTTGGTTCTTTCAAAATTGCTTTTGATAATTTGTTTTGAAATCTTTGAATTATTAAAGCGTTTGAGTTGGAAGTTGATCCCCATAGCTGTATGCCGTATGTCCAAATTGGTTTAATGATGGCTTTACAGAGGTAAATTTTATTATGAGTGTCAAGTTTTGATTTTTGTCCAAGGAGCCATTGATATCTTCTTCTGGTTTCTCTTTTTCTTAATGTGTTCTTTCCAGGTTAGTCTTTTATCTAGGTGTAAACCTAGATATTTGACTGTATCTGTTTGATCTATAATTTCGTCATTAAGTCTTACTGCAGGACAAGTCTCTTTGCAACAGGGTGAAAGTGATGTGTTTTGACTTGCTGCTGTTAACTTCTATTCTCCACAAGCTTAACCATTTTTGTATCACGTCAAGATGATCCTGCAGCATTTTTGATGTGATTATGGGATCTTCATGTGTTCCCATTATGCCTGTGTCGTCTGCATATGTTGCTGTCAAA